CCCTTAAACACAAACCTGTCATCGCAGCCCACAGACTGTTGATGTATACGAGTTTACATCCTTGTGACCTTAAGTTTTCTGCCATAATTAAAACCTACGCCACAGTGTGGACAAACAAAGAAAAAAGAGACATTTGCTCATTCTGGAGTGAAGTGCATGCTCCAGTAACGTCTATTTTGAGGTGTTTTTTGTAGATATTTAAAGAATGTTTTACAAGATTTGCGAATAGTAATTCCTTTTTTCTTGGCCGTTGAAACTACTTTTTGCTCATTTTGGTTTATTATGAGTTTTTAAAGAACCTAACTGTTGTTTTTTCTTTGAAGCCAAACAGAACTTATTCTTTATGATTAAGTGTGAATCATCCATTCTTGTGGGTTTAGTATTCAACCTTCTCGCCTGAAAACTCCCCGTTTCCTGTTAACATCGCATTTGTCACAAACGTCTGTCTCGGAGATCAAGGCAGCGTCTGTGTCATTCTATTGATCCGTCTGCCAAAGGATCACTCAAAGGTCATGTAAAACGGCCCACTCCATCCTGCCTCAGCTTCTGGTTTATCAGTTTGTATGTTCAGCCATGTGTATATATGAGAAAGTCAATAGGGTAATGTACTGTACATAGCAGTATATTTTCTTTTGAGTGTTTATACAATTGCATTTTTTTGTATGAAATCGAGTCTTACAATTAAATAAACACTTGGTCATGTGTGCAAGAATGTTGCTGCTAGTGTCCAAATTTCAGTATTTTAGTTTTTTTTATCTACACCAGCAGCTTGGCTCCATCAGTGGTAATGTCAGTCTGATTGTTGGTTCACCGCTTTGCTCCAAACAGAAATTTCTCAACAACTATGAGACGGATTGCAGTGCAGGTTAGTGTAGACATTATGGTGATCTCCTACCACCACCATGTGGATTTACATTTGCAATTTGGAGTGAAATGTCTTGACAACATTAGGATGTAGTACCATGAAATGCATCATCATACCTTTGGTGATCCTTTGACTAATCTGATATTCTAGTGTCATCATCAGTCGTTGCACATTCAGCCGCTGAGGAAAGTGCTCCGTCGTAGAAAAGTGAGACTGATGTTATAAATCTATCTAATGAGCTTAAATGTAAAGGTTATGACTCATTACACAAATGGAGGCTGTAAATAAAGGTTGTTTTCATGCTCAGTTCATCTGTAAATTATTTCTCAAATAGTCTATGAGTTGTTTGGTCTATAAAATGTCAGAAAATTGTGGAAAAATGGCAGTTAGTGTTTCCAGAAGCCCAAGATGACCTCTTCAAATGTTTTTTTTTTTCCCCCCCGCAGCACAAAGACATTCAGTTACTGTAACAGAAAAGTAAAGAAACTAAAATAATCTAATTAAAGAAGCTGGAGAATTTAAACTTTTCTTTCCAATTGTTTGATGATCAAAATAGGTAATGATTAATAACCAGTTGATAACTAATTGATTATTCATTGCAGCTCTAATAGAAATGTAGCTAATTTAAATATTAAGGTTTCGACCCCACTGTATTTTGTATAATATAAATTGACCTGACTGATATAATTAAGGTTAAAACTGTGCAATATTGTACTGCAAACCTGATTAATTTAAACATTAAGAACTGACAGTATTATCTATGACACCAACTTACCTCGACAATATAAAAAATAAGGTTAATACTAGTGATGCCCGATATAAAAATTGCTGTCCGATACCGATATTAAGATTTCTGATATCGCCGATAACCGATGTCGATATTCAATTTTTGTTCACACTGAAAAAATAATATAAGTAAGCACTGTGAGAACGTGAAAACTATTCAAAAGAAGCCCAAATTAGACCACATAGTCTTCCTTATTACATAACTAAAGCAAAACATATTTAAACATATTTAACGTTCAAGTCCAGGACCATTAAAGTAAAAACATGAGAAATAGCAGCAATACCAAATGTAGAGACAATGGCGCTGATGTTAGACAATCATCGACTAAATTTGTTTATCAGACCGATATCGATAAATCGGAAAAACACTCACATCGCCCGATACCGATGTGGTCGCAGATATATCGTGCTTCCATAGTTAATGCCCAACAAAATTAAACCGAAAAGCCAAAACTCCAAAGATTCCCCAGGAGCAACACATTAGTTTCTAGCCTGTCTGTACACCCATAGTCTTGTAGTCGTACTTATGGTTGATGGCTGTTTTCACATTCTCATATCTATCTAGTTTCATGATGTTTGGACTAATTTAGCCATTTGACAGTTTTCTATCCACGCTTTATGCAAGTAAAACAACAAACTTCTAGATCTTGTGTTTATATGTATTGAATATTTCTATACTTTCACACTGCCTTGTTCATTTACATCAGTTTCATGATACAGAAAAAAACAACTCTTCATTCTGCAAACCTCCCTGAACAGCTCGCACTTACTGCACCCGCACCACCCAGGTGTGAACGTCAGTGCCCATGTGCATGCGAATCAGGGTGGTGCTGCAAAAAGGAGCACGGCTTCTTAACGGGAGCGTCCCTGAATAAATAATAAGCTTGGAAAAAATGTAATTGGACAATGTATCAACGTCCTCCATACCTTGTTTAAGTTCTGCGGTGAGGCTCGGCTTTCTGTTTATATCTGGATTATAGATCGAGTCTCGGAGGGAAAAGCCTTCCCTTGTAATTAACTGTTATAAAACATTATACAGAGGGCTCATGGCGTTGGTGTGTTAAATAAAAGGCCTGAACTGCTATCCACTGTTTACACAAATAGCAACCACACTTGGCTCTCCCTGCCTGGGATAGCTTCCACACACACACAAAGAAATAAATGGATACCAAACTCAAGAAACATATTCGGAAAACCTCAGATGTCTTACAGTGATTAGGTTTTTATAGATGTGTCTTTCCTAACCGTTGCTCTTTTTAGACACGCTGTAAGTCATTTATGTTGCACTGGACAAGATAGAGACACTTTAATAGGCCTCTCCGACGTGGCTTCTAGTCCAAGTTGATTCAGAAAAGAATGAAAGAAATTAAAATACAGAAAACAGCGAGGGGCGATTTTGTGATTTTGGGCTGAGCTGGCTCGGTTGAGAGGATTTGGACTGGCCAGAGTTGTAATTTGCCCACGGGGATCTGGCTGCGTTGTGGTGGATCGTCTCCTCTCCCTTGTCATTTTCTTGTCTGTGTGTGGCTTCATGTTAGTGTGGATGCTGTGCTCACCAATCTCTCTGTGACGCACAACCAAACTAACCTCTGGGCTGCCTGCACACAATCTTTACGTGTGTGTGTTTTCCCATGCTTTCTAGCTGCCTTCTCATATTCTGCTGCATTACATTCAGAACGGTAACGACCTAATCAATCAACGGTCCCTTCAGCTGGGTTTCACAGTGGTAGCTTTTTTATTGCAAGACTCTCCCTTTGCTGCCTTAATGCCAGGCATGATTTTCACTTAAAGAGATGAAGGAAAAGAGGAAAAGAAAAAAAACAACATCTGAAGACGTAGCAGTTTGTGAGTTTGTGGCTTGTTGAAGGGGTGCTAAGGCTTCTGCAGGCGCACCGCAACATGAACTCATCATTACTGATATCCATATTTTTGTAGGTAATTACATATTCTAAGGATAAGATCTGCTTAAACCTGTATTAAGCTGTAAATGTTACCGTGTCTCTGTGGAATCGGCAGTATGCAGACCACTGCTCTACGGTGCTGTGCGAGTCTGGAAAGTCCATTTAGATCAGTAAAGACGGGAACTGACCTTGGCCCTTCAGTCACTTAACGCTCCTCAGAGAGAGGCAACCTTATGACCCCACGCTCACACCAAAACTCCACACCCGTGGTGATATTAGGACTCTGTGTGTGTGTTGTGTGCAATTGTGCCCACATGGACATCCGTGTATTTGTGCTAACCTCCCTACACCATTGTCACCTCGCTTTCAGTTGCATCTTTAAAGCATTTTAGTGCAGTTTTTACAGTTTGTGGGGTAATTAGTGTAATTCACACGCAGTTACGTCGCTTGTAAACTACCTGAGTCGCGTCAACAAAGGCAGCCGATGTGTTTGGATGATAGTGAAGCGCCTTTATTCAGAAACAGTGCGTTGTAGAAGTAGAAATTAAAAGGTTTCTGCAATGAGTCCGTTTTTTTGTTCTCGCTGATCTGAATCAGAGCTGAAGACTTCATGTATCCACTTTGTAATTTAACGTATTAACTGTTTTCCAAAATTTCACAGTCTGGTCAGTTTCAAAGGGAGTGCTTCTGTTTGCCATTACTCAAGCATGAGGATATACTTTACGTCAGCCAATAATACGCATGTCTATGTGTGGCGGCATCGCGTACACCCCCTTTCGCTATATGTTGTGGTTGTGCCTGGTCTTAAAGTCCCCATATGGCCCGACTTAAAGCACATGACAGGGTGATCTCACACTGAGCGAATGGCCTGCGAGTGGGCATGTGGTTAGTGTGTGTGTGCATATAGGGAATGAGAGAGGTGAGAGATCGGGGCACAACGAGAAACAAGGGGGGTGGACGTAAGTGGGTTAAAAAAAGGCCAAGAGTCGCTACGTGAACAAGGAAAGTCAGAAAAGAGCTGTAACATACAGGAATGAAGTTGCATAGCTGCGAAAGCACAGCCGATCTCTCCGTCTGTTTCAGATTATGGCTCATGGTGACATCTCGCTGCCATTACAGGAATAAAGTCAAACATCAGTCAGATATTAGCTGTGGATGCGGTTTACATCTACGCCGTGGACTGAGATCTGTGTGCGTTTTAGATCCCTGCCTTTGACACGAGAGTGACTTATCATTAGCCAAGCAAAGGCAGCAACAAGAAACAGCCTTTTTCCTCAGCAGAAGTTCAACTGGTTGCTTTGGTGTGATCTTCAAACCCAGGCTGACCTCTAGTGGTGGTCCTGTGCATTGCATCATGGATTTTCACTCACCTGCCGTACTTTCTGTTCTGTTGTTCCAAAAGATGTGGTAATAGTTTAGTTATTTAATATAATCGCTCCTCTCCATAGGGAGGATTTCGATGAAGAGGGATTCTGCCAGCCGTACAGAGGTATCGCCTGCGCCCGCTTCATCGGCAACCGCAGCATCTTCGTCGACTCGCTGCAGATGCAGGGTGAAATTGAAACACAGATTACAGGTGAGAAAAATGTAGATTAACTTTGATCTATGCTTAAGAGTATTATTCATGACGTTCTCTTTCATTACACAGTGGATTTTCTTTTTTTTAGATTTTCTGTGCATTTTGTGCTTTTTTTAGTCTCATTTGGTAATGATTTAGTTTGGGCCTATTTAAGATCAATGCAGTTAAAATTAAACATACAAGGGGATGGAGCAGTGCTCTGTATGAGCATGCAACATCTTCATCTGCAGTTCTAAACTTACTTGCTAAGTCACTGAAATGAAATATGACGTTACAACATCCTCAGCCGAACTGATGCAATCACCTGACACACTTGTGATTTTATATCTGCTGTTTCCTCACAACTCTACCTGCTCCTGATGATGGTGCAGCTTGAAACTCAGTCATGCTATCTCTGCTGTTTAGGAGTAAACATATACGCTGGTTTTTTGTATTAGTGGTTTATCCCTTTGTAGATGCATTCACGTTGTCAGGTCAGCAAAGCCCTAAAATGCCTTTAAGGACAAACTAGTTTGTTCCTCTCAGATGTTTTGTGTCTGAAAGTCAACTTTCCTCAGATGAGTTCAACAGTTCAACCATCACTGCTCACTGATCAGCCACAGTATTAAAACCAGCTGCGTAATGGGGGTTGGTCTGTTTGTTTGGGTGATACGTGCCAAAGTAATATCCACAAAAAGATAGAACTCAAGGTTTTCCCCTGGAACATTGAATAGAAACAAGATCATCAATGCTCTGACCTTCACCTGTTGGTGGTTTTAATGTTGTGGCAGGTCAGTGTGTGTCTTCAGCATCCTGTTTCTTTGCTGATTTAGCATCTTTACAAAGTTGCCATCTCAGCATCTCCTTAATCAACCCGACATATTGGGACTTTTCAGAAGGTGATCCTTCATTAATGTGCACCAGGAAGGAAGCAGGATCCCTTACAGAGTTCAAAGGAAGTTCAGCGAGGTCACCCCTCTATATGAAGCACACATGGCCCACGTACAGTTTATACAGTTACACATGTCTGTGTCTCAGCTTCTGTGTTTTTGTTTTGCGTGTTTGCGTGCTCATGTCCTCGAAGGTCAGTTTAATATGTGCGTTATTGATTGCATCCGTGCAGCTGTCAGCTTTTCCCCTGAACGGGGACAAAGGGGGCCCTTGAACCTGGACTCTAATCTGAAACATCAAGGACGAGTGATGATTAAGATTTATGTTGCCACAATAGGCCTACCGTCGAGTTGTAAATCATAAATGTTACAGCCAGTACAGCCACACGTCTTAAATTTAAAGACACCTTTATTGATCTTTTTGATCAATCTATTCAAGCAGCATGTTGTGTAAGAACATTTGGACTGTAGCCAACTTTACTTACTTTACTTTTTATTAGCTTGTCTTCTTCTCTTAAGCTGACTAATTAATAATGACAAGCACAGAGAAGCATATGTTTGCAATAACTGCACAGTGTCATTAAGAGCATTCATTCCAAGTCTTCCTCTTTGATCTGTTTTGTACATAGATACCTAAGTGGAACTAAGATTGTATACTTGTTGTTAATCTCAAAAACTGAAGCAAAGAAGGAAAAAGGATTGATTTGTAAACTCTTTGTATCTTCTTTTTTTTTTCTCCCCAGAATCGGTCAAAGAATGTGACAGATGTTCTGTTTTTATTCTTTGTTTGAACATATAGATCAACTCTGATGTCTGGCCACATCCAAAAGTCAATGATTCCTTATTTTCTTATTTTCCTCTCTTATTTCCAGCCGCCTTCACCATGATCGGTACATCCAACCATTTGTCCGATCGTTGCTCCCAGTTTGCCATCCCTTCCCTCTGCCACTTTGCCTTCCCGACATGCGACCGGAGCTCAGGGACCGACAAACCTCGGGACCTCTGTAAGGACGAATGCGAGATCCTGGAGAACGACTTGTGTAAGACGGAGTACATCATCGCCCGCTCGAACCCAATTATACTGAAGAGACTGAAGCTACCAAACTGCGAGGACCTGGCTGCCTCTGAGAGCCCCGAGGCTGCCAACTGTCTGCGGATCGGGATCCCCATGGCCGAGCCCATTAACAAGAGTAAGACATGTTCTCCTGCTGATTGTATAACTGACCATACTGATAATACGACATTATTACTGTCTGACGAGAGCCGTTCTGAGAACTCCTTGTTCACAAAAATTCTCATTATCTCTCTCCCATTATCCACGGTAACTTCATATTTTTCTGTTGAAGTACATTTTTTATATTTTTTGGACTCAGATCTCACATTTAAGAGAGTTTTTTTGAACAACCTTAGGTCAGCAGAAACAAGCTGTAACCACAAAACTGAGACGTTTTACTTTGTCTTTGTTAAGTTTTCTGCAATTTTATGTTTAAATATGCAAGTTTCTTATTGTTTTGCTTAATATGAGTTAATCTCTGAAGTTGCCAACCCAACTGTGTGTTTTTCTTTTTCCTTTGGAGGAAAAATAGCCCTAAATCTCAACATTCACCAGTGTATGATAAAAAAGTTTTTCATGTTGCGTCTCACCTTAACTCCTTTGGGAACATCTAGTTTTTGAGCTGATAAATAATCCAAGCAGTTGTTTATACTAAACACATGATGGTGCTGGACAGGAAGTGTTAACTTCACCTTTCTGTCTTCCAGATCACAAGTGTTACAACAACAGCGGGGCCGACTACAGAGGCACTGTCAGTATGACCAAGTCAGGGCGTCAGTGTCAGCCGTGGAACTCCCAGTATCCTCACAGCCACACCTACCTGGCCGTCAGATACCCAGAGCTGAACGGGGGACACTCGTATTGCCGCAACCCGGGAAACAAACACGAGGCCCCCTGGTGCTTCACGCTGGACGAGGGGGTCCGCATGGAGCTCTGCGACATAGCCATCTGTGGTGAGATAGTAGAATATGTTTAAGAGTTTGTATGTAAAATAATAATCTGGAAATACCCATACGATGTGATTCCTCCGTCTCCATCCATCTCTACAGACTATAAGGACAAGTCAAGCAGAGGCAACATGGAGATTCTGTACATCCTGATTCCCAGTGTGTCCATCCCACTAGCCATCGCTTTGCTCTTCTTCTTCATTTGTGTGTGCCGCAACAACCAGAAGTCCTCCAGGCCTCCTGCGCCGCGCCAGCCCAAACCGGTCCGAGGACAAAACGTTGAGATGTCAATGCTAACGACTGCGTACAAGCCAAAGGTAGAGAGCAGCCCAGTCTCAGCATGTGACGCTGTTGGTGGGGAAAATAACAATGGAGGGTGTTTCTGCTTTCTGAACATTCCTATCAGGAGGTTGACAAAATGATAAAAAAAAACACCTACCCTGTTACTCTAATAAACAGTAGGACCAAAAGTAGGATTTATGGCGGGACCTCTGCACAAGTTTAAGCTAGATCTACCCGATAAAAAGGCAAATCATTCTGGACTCTCCCGTAGTGACTCCAAATAAGTCCTCTTTTGCTGTGTTTGTCTTTCAAAGTCATGAGAGCAGGCTGCAGGAGGAGTCAAAACACTAGCGCAGCACTCTGTGTGTCAACTGGGATACGTCGCAGCATGCTGGCCTTACTGGGCTGTGTGTGTGGAAATGACCTGTCTCAGACACAGCTTCAGATCTCTATCATCAGATCTCAGCAGGTCCAGGAATGTTCAAGTGCAGCGCTTTTCCTCTCTGTTTATTTCTCTCCCGCTGTCTCTTTTTCCATACCTCTCCCTCCCGCTCTCACCTAATCCGTCTTTTTTTGTTGTTGTTGCTCTTCTTCTGTCTTTCCCTCCATCCCTTTACCTCTGCACCTCTTTTTCTCCCTCCTCTCCCCTCCCTCTTTCACTGAACCTCTTTGTAATGTAGATCGCCGAGCTCCTGCTCTCGCAGCCAGCGCATAGCTCACACTAGGATCTGTATCATGTTCCTTTCAAGGCTGCGCACTCAGTCATATCATGTCTGTTTATCTTTTTCCACATGATTTCGGTGGTTGAGGTGGAAGGGTGTGGGGTTATCTAGACAGCATGTCTGCCTGGGCAAACTGATGCTCAAGGTAATGTGTATAATATTACCGTCAACAGCTGTAGAGGGAACCGCAAAATGTCACAGAAGCGTCAGAGGCCATTAATATCTCAGGTTTGCTTTGTTTTTTGGATTGGAACAAATGTTTCACTGACCTAAAAAGGGAGTCTCTCCTCGCTGTGTTTAGATGACGCCCTTGTGTCTGTGAAGAATCAAGCTTACAGAGGATCAAGGAATTTTTTTTTAGTGACAACCGTGCAGTTATGGAATTATACAGCTGATTTGGAATAGTCTTTGCAGACTTGAAATATGCTCCACACATATCAGAACGCATAAACATCCATTGTAAGACTGAAAAAGCTTTACAGCAATGCAGTTCTTACCTATTTTCCAATCCATGTATCTAATTTTATCGTTAAATGCTAACACCAAAAAGACAATTTGAATTTGTGAAGTGGCAGATCCTTATATATTTCAATATATTATTGCAGGTCAAGCATCTTTATTTCCTGTTCTCATTATGCACAAGTTTGTCTTTGGCGAGGCTGCTACCCAGCAGGCTTTGCTGCAGGGTCACCCAGGGGCCGCTGGCTGTGACAATCCATTTAGACACACATAAACATGCGCACACACAAACCTGCGGTGGTGTGAAGAGGATCTGAGGGTTTGGGTGTGGGGAGGAAAGAACGGCTGAAACAAACTCATAACTGAAAACATCTGTGTGTCTCATAATATAGAGCACACACACTCACTCAGCACCCCCCTCAGACTGTGTGTGTGTGTGTGTGAGAGAGAGAGAGAGAGAGTGTGTGTGTTGCTCACAGAGAGGAATTTCATTATTCATCTCAGAGTTCCTGGAATCTGAAAATCTCTGCCAACCTCTCTCTGCTCACCTTTTATCTTCTCCCAAGTATCAGCACACTCACACACACTCGTTCACACACACACACACACACACACACAGAGCGAGTTCGATGTCGACCACAGCGTCACAGCGCACGATCGAGTGAAAAATGAACTTCTATTAATTTGAATATTTACTGTGACTTTGTCTTAGTTGCAGGGCATGTTAAAAAAAAAAGTCTGGGCTGATTCACGCTATTATCTTTAAAATTTAATTGTATCCTAATTATATTATAATAAACACCATGTCCAGGCTGACAAAGAAAGGAAGGACCAACAGCAAGCTCGTCTGACTCATTTAATGAAAGCTGCAGGTATGAGCTTTGCAGTGGTTGTTCCTGTCAGCCAGCCTGCTGAGGATTTGGTTCTTGTAGTCAGGAAGCTTTTGCGTTTTGTTTTTGGGATTTTTTTTTTTGGTAGATTATCCTCTTTGACGTCAGTAATTTCCTCTCTGCATGCAAATGTTCCACCACAACAATTCCACCTAACATTTTTTTTAAAGGAACCCCAAAGTCTAATTCCTTTTTTTTTTTTTAGCTAAACTATTATGTTCTACAGAATGGTTTAGCTCAGCAAGCTGCAGGACTACCAGCCTATCTGATAGTAAGTCCTGGACCCTGCACACCCAACAAGATCAAAAAACTTGCCGCCTTCCAAATGTGCAGCCTTCAGTGCAGCTGCAACTTCACCTGGCAGGACAAAGTGCCATACGTCACCATCCACAGGACAGAGCTGACATCAGCAGCATGTAGCCCTGCTGAAACAGACGCATATGCACTGATCTGATCATACCCTATGACTGGATATGCAGGGATCAACACTCCACAGTCAGACCCCCTGCAGCGATGTCTGTTAAGCCCTTTTCAGACATGGGATCCATAACGATGGTGGCTTCATCAAATCTATTAAAGTGGCGGCACACAACTTGAAATTACAGTTGTTTGTGCGTGCCTGTCCTTTAATGTTACTGGGTGCAGGTCAGGCTTAAAAAGTGAAATGTTCGGAGGTTTGATTTAGGAACGCTACCCGTGCGACTTTTTGACAGCTTTTAGACATCAAGGTGACACAGACTGTTGCTGCTAACAGAACGAAGTGCGTGACTGAAAGCCTCGACCTGAACACGGGTGAAGCTGCAGCATCAGAATGACTGGCTTAGAAACAAGTGGTGCAACAACGCTTTAGCAAATTTGAAGATATGTTTGCCCAGCAGTCTGAGGCAAAGAGACGGAGGAGGCAGGCACAGAGCCAGACAGACGAACCAGATTTGGACTTTGCCCAGTGTGGGAAGGACTGTCACTCCTATATTGGTCTGTTCAGCCACACCAACGCTGTACCACCATCCAGAGCACAACTCCATTGTCTGAACAGACTGATGGATGCTTATATTTTAGTTTCTGTTTCCTGTTTACTGCCTGGCATTGGTCTAGTGTATTGTTAATGTTTCCTCCTCAGTGTTTGCCTTTTATTTTTATGGCATCACATAATAGCCAAACACTTTCCCTTTCTGCAATTTTAAACAATATTTTTACACTAGTAAGGTAGTAAATAAGATTGCTGTAGCGACCCTTAAGGAAAAGTGTCATCAGATTAATGGAGAGGACTGCATATCTGAAAGAGACCCACAGAACTCAGCTGTCTGTCTGGGTTTGAATGCATTTGCTGAATTTGTTGAAACCGAGTCACCCTTATCTTTAATTAAACTTGATAATCTCCAGCTGAATTCTAAATCATTTGTGACACTCTCATAAACCCACAGTTCAGCTCAGTCTCGTTGGATTTAGACGTGCAAACCGAGCTCCAGTCTTGAGTCCTCCTCGCTGGGCATGAGAGACTAAAGAGGCAAAGGCATCCCTCACAAAGAGCGCTACAGCATTTTCTGTTATTTCTACAGTTTACTGGCAAGAGAATTAATTGCTTAGTCTCGCTAAATGCTACTTAACCTGTCAGCTCAATGACATTTTTAGGTTGTGGACGTGTTGCCAGATTTTCCCACATCGTTTTCCAAAGGCGTAAAAGGAGTTATTAGGAGCTGATGTAATGGATTGAGTCTGATTATAACGATTATCAACTCTCTGGGCCGTAGTTTTACTGTTTTTACAACTTAAACGTTACAGTATTTTGGTGTTATGTCGGGCAGTTTGCCTGTAGCGAATTAGCAACAGCAATGTAAACTGCATGTCATCGTTTCACTTTTCCATACAAGGATAACGGTGAGGAAACAGTGCCGGGCTGACAAAGAAAATAATGATCTAATATTTCTCTCACGTCTCTTCTATTGATGTCACTTCACCGGTTTTCTTTCTCTCCCTCTTCTCGCTGCAGAGTAAAGCCAAGGAGCTTCCCCTGTCTGCTGTGCGTTTCATGGAGGAGCTTGGAGAGTGCACGTTGGGGAAGATCTACAAGGGTCACCTGTACCTGCCGGGCATGGACCAGGCACAGCTCGTGGCCATAAAGACTCTGAAAGATATTTCCAGCGGCCAGCATTGGGGCGACTTCCAACAGGTACAGTTTAAATCACTGCCTCCACAGAGTTTAGTGCTGCTTTTCATTTTTAGTTTTTTAGTTTAGTTTAGTTTTTTTCTTGAAATAAGGTATTGATCCAATGAATAAATCTTAATGAAGACAGTAACACTCTGTAAAGTAGCTGCAGCATTAAATAGTCATTTAAAAACCCTCTACGGTCAGTTCTCTGTGGAGTAATAAAAATAAAATGTGTTACTAAAATAATCTTCTATTACAAACTACATGACACGACTTTGTTAGTGGAAAGAAGTCTCTTCCCACAAGATCTGAAGCATGTCTTGTTATATTTCCACAGAAGATAAATGCAGCGTGCAACTGGAGGCTCTGTACGGCTAAAAATCACTGAGCTGTGGATGAGTTCACTAGAAATAGTTCCAAAAATAAACTGTAACTACTGGCAGATTGTCCAGATAAATTTAGATATTAGGGCGGACTCAAACAGATGACACAAGTAAAACATAATTCTTCCTTGACCTGAGATGCCTGCCCTTATAGTATACACCTTAAAATCTTTTTATTGTATTTTTTCTGGTAGTTAATATGAGCTGTTATGAAAATGACTTGAACTACCCTTGTATCACTCAAGTCTTGAGGCTTCAGTAACTATCTCAAGTATCCCCTTAGTAGATTTTGTTGAAATGAAGCTGCTGTTCTTCTTTTTTTCTTGAAATTTACCACTACTTATTTGACGACCATTCAAGGAGGCCGCAGTGCTGACGGAGCTGCAGCACCACAACGTGGTGTGTCTGCTGGGTGTGGTTACTCAGGAGCAGCCGGTCTGCATGCTCTTTGAGTTTCTGCCACAAGGGGACCTCCACGAGTTCCTCATCATGCGTTCGCCGCATTCTGATGTCGGCTGCAGCAGCGATGAGGACGGCACGGTGAAATCCAGCCTGGATCATGGCGACTTTCTGCATATGGCCATACAGGTAGGATGTGAAACTCTCACTGTACTTAAAAGAAGAAATGGACCAGATTTAAATATTTTTGATATCAGTTTATCTAAGTCTTGTATTGTATGTAGTATTTCCAAGCAAAGTGTTTTGGACGTACAGAAAATAAAAGACCTGCTCATTTTCTGCATGTCCAAAAATCAAAGTGTGCATCAAAGTCCTCATTAAATCATCGGTATAAAACATGAGCACCTGTGTCAGAAAGCAAAGAAACGTTAACACCACAACTCCAGAAAACCGCTTCAACAACAAAACATCTGGACACTGAATGTTGGCTAAAAAAACAACTAAAGCTTAGGACATGTAGAAACCTGGAGCCAGTCAGTAGTTCTAATTTTTGTGGATTGTTGTTTCCACAATTCAGCAGCACAGAGGCATCTCTACCTCGATTTTAAGTACAAATGTGATTAATAAATACATTGATATTCCATCATATTAGACTGATGGGCAGAAAGTTGGAAAAATTCATCCAGTGGCCAAAAAATAAACCTCCATTATTATCAAATTATCAATAAGATTCTCCCCCTGCAGACGTTTTGCCAGGTCAGACTGCAATCACTGGGACCATTATACATACTTTTGTATTACTAACTAGGAAATGTTGATTTATGGAGAGTTTCCTCTTTGCTAATTCAGTTGAAATCACTGTTTAAGTAATCACGTGTTTCACTGCTAAGTCTGTATGTAATTTATTCCTCCATATTTTCGTAGGTGGCTGCTGGGATGGAGTACTTGTCCAGTCACTTCTACATCCATAAGGACCTTGCGGCTCGGAACATCTTAGTAGGTGAACAGCTCCACGTCAAGATTTCCGACCTGGGTCTCTCCAGAGAGATCTACTCCTCAGACTACTACTGCCTCCAGCCTAAAACTCTGCTGCCTATCCGCTGGATGCCCCCCGAGGCCATCGCCTACGGCAAGTTCACCTCAGACTCAGACATCTGGTCGTTCGGAGTCGTGCTGTGGGAGGTCTTCAGCTACGGTCTGCAGCCCTACTACGGCTTCTCCAACCAAGAAGTGATGGAGATGGTGAGAAAGAGGCAGCTGCTGCCCTGCCCTGAGGACTGTCCACCAAGGTGTGTTGTGTTTATTGTTGCAGTAGACTAGAACATGAGGGTGAAAAATCTTTACATCCAACTGTTTCCTTGCTTTCTGTTGAAACTGTGGACAACTTGGAATGTGTTGGCCAACACATTTAGCTCCCTCTTTCAGGCCCTTGATGTGTTGTGCTTCCAAATCTGCTGCTATTCTTAATACTGACAACCTAAGTCTCCATCTCAAACTGAAAAAGCATGCTCATTAAAACAGCTCATTAAAATGTTAAATTACAATAATGTGCTGATAAGACAAAACATGAATTTAAATATATTCATCCTTTCTAGGTACTCATTGAAAAACTTACAATTTCAACCCTGGAGTGTTGTTGGATGATAAAAGAGGATATTTTTTTCTTTTTTGACTTTTTATAGAAAATTTTCAGATATAGACTGCAAATTAAAAGTCAAAGCAGTTACCATAAAAAAATTAAATACATAAAGACTTACGGTTCTTATGACTTCTGTCAAAATATCACTCTGGCTCACTGTGATTGGTCAGAGGCCATAGCGACTGTGGTGTGATGTAGCATGACCTTTGTTAATTGGCTGGATAAAGTCATGTGATTCCACCCCCTCACCATTTTTAAAGCGCAAGTTACCGTATATGGTTCCTTGCCCAAAGATCGAGGAATAACTAATTTACTAAATGTTAATAAATTCAAAGAAAAAACAGCCAGACACAAAAAAAAAGAGAGCTGGGTTATGTGAAATACCTTCTGCAGAGAATAATAATCCTTCAGGTTAAACTTTCAGCTCCTTCTTAAAGGACACGGCCATGAATGACTGTTGCACACTGAGAGAGTCAAAACAGAAACATCTGCTTATTTTCCCTCAATTTTAACATTAAAATTTGAGTAAAGTGGGGCGCCCTGGTAGGTCAACAGGTTGAGCAGGCGACTCATTTTCAGGGACTGAAAGTTCCCTGCGTGGCTGGCATGGTTCGAGTCCAACCCATGGACATTTGCCACATATCCTTCCCCCACTCTTCTCCCTACCTTTCCTTTCTCCCTCTCCACTTCCCTATCCAATAAAGGCCAAAAAAAATGGCCATAGGACCTCTTCGGTGTCCTGTGGTTTTTGGCACCTGGACATTAGCAGCAGACTCTTTGGGTCCTGGGGTTGTAGGTTATAGGTTCTATTCCAGCAGACAGTACACTGCCCAACGAGATTGGGATCTGGAGGAGTTTGGAGGCCAGGTCCATGCTATGATTCTCAACTTTGAGCCGCTTCTGAACAGTTTTGATGGTGTGGTGGGGGGTAGTGCTGGGAGGATGCTGGTGTGGCAGAGTGCTGTTACCAGAGTCGGTGTTCGGGGTCTAAAACAACGTTTAGGTGTGTTGTATGTGTCAAACTAACATCAACAATAACTTCACCTGTCAGTGGTTTTAATGCAACAAGAAAGTGATTTCATGCAGCGTTAACATTTTAGGTGTTCAGACGAATTCAATAAAATCAGCTTTTAAAAGGAATCTAAACACTGCTGTCAAAGATAACGAAGCATCTCTGTTGTCTTCCAGGTTTTATGGTTTGATGACTGAGTGCTGGCAGGAGGGACCAGCACGTCGACCACGCTTCAAGGACATTCACACCCGTCTGCGAGCCTGGGAGGGCCTGTCGTCCCACGCCAGCTCCAGCACGCCGTCTGGTGGAGGAGGCAACGCCACCACTCAGACCACCTCGCTGAGTGCCAGCCCTGTGAGCAACCTCAGCAACCCCCGCTACGCTGCTGCAGCTGCTGCAGGGTACCTCTACCCGGCCCAGGCCATTCCTGCGCCAGGGCAGATGGCTACGATCCCGGCATGGACACCCATGGCTGTGCCCCAAACCCACCAACGCTTCATCCCTGTCAACGGATACCCCATCCCACCCGGATACGCAGCTTTCCCAGCTCACTTCGCGCCCCCAGCTCCGCCTACCAGGGTCATCCAGCACCACCTGCCGCCTCCCAAAAGCCGCTCGCCCAGCAGCGCCAGCGGCTCCACCAGCACGGGTCACGTCAGCGGCGTTCCCTCCACCACGGGCTCCAACCACGACGCCAACACGCCACTGCTCTCCCACTGCATCATGCCGGGGAGCGGCGGAGGGCCGGCTCAGGTGTACGGACAAGTTTCCCAGAAGGCGTTGGGACAGCTGGAGCACGTGTCACAAACATCAGCGCTGCTCGCTCCTGACTCTGACGTACTGATGTACAACGACTCGGTCATCACCGCAGACCTGTAGACACAGAGAGGGATGCTCACTTTCTTTCTGCTCGGGACCCACACATGAGAAGTTTAGCCTCTCACGCAGGGACCCAGTGTCACAATTCTACTCTGGTCACGTGAGACCCAAACAGAAACAGGCCTCTGTGCACATGAGTGTGTGCAAGAAACACTGCCGCAGCTAGACAAGTATATAAACAGCTGTCTGACTTTGTAATGCCTTACTGTTTAAAGCAAGCGTACTTACTATTATGGTTTGAAAATGTTGTGTTGTTATTTTAACCTCTCTGTAAATACGGTACACAAGTGCTGAATGAATGAATGAAATACAAAGATATATATTCAAAAGAACTTTCTTTTTTTTTATTAAGAAAAACACTTTAAAGGTGAAAACGTAGCAATTCCACCCTGTGTCCTCGTGAAATGGTTTTGTTGTACAATCACACAAGAAGTTCCTGTGCTGACAACCCAGCCGACGGACTGTTTCATACGGGACGTCGAGGAGACACGGACGTTCATGTGATGACCTTTAGGTGCCTTTCAGCAGTGCTGCGACTTGCTAGTCAGCGGACGGATTAAAAATAAAATAGCAAAATGAGCAAGAATGGGAACAGCAGGTGCTTTTATTGAGAAGACCAACACTGACCTGCTCACATACAACAGCATACAGGTGACATGCTCTGCCATTTGGACCCCGAAAGTAAACTTCTGGTTGCAAGCATTGCAGCCAGACCTCCAGCAGCTGTGTGACTGCTGCCCAACGTAGCAGCGGGAATTCAAGTAAATGCAGTAGAATTACAAGTGATGAATTGGCGGCAATATTTTTCCTGGTCCTGAAAATCGGAATATACACAACGCCCTTTGAAAGTGACATCTGAATGTTTTTTTTCTGCAACATGACTATGTGAGACCTCTACAACGCGGACACAGGCCTGTTCTTCACGCTCTGACCGTCTTCAAAGCTGCCCAGGCTGAGAAACAAGGAGGCTGGGAGTTTTATCTGATCATACAACAAACCCCTTCATCAGCCTTCCAATCTCACTTCAATCACCAATTTCCTTCATGATTTATTCCTTTACTCTTCTCCTTTCTCGAGACATACGGCGTCTTACTTCAAAGCTGCCTGCTCTGGACCCCCCGAGGACCTACAAATGAAATCACACAGCGCTCATGTCCTCCGCAGCTACTCTGGACCGCTCTCAGGGCAAACAACTCGTTCAACATGCAAGAGCTGGGGGCAGTTTTTACTTTTGCTAATGTAAGATGAAATTCTCACAACTCTCACAGAGGAACTTTAAAAAAATGTATCATTGATTGAATATGACGTTTTAATTTTCAGGAGAGTTTTTTTTTTTTTTTTACAGTGTTCAGTTTTGAAGGAAGAATTTTCTATTTGGAGGGCTTGTCTTCGTGTGCCTTTGTCCGTTCCAGTTTTATTTGCATCTGCATCATAAAAAACGACAACTCAACACATGGAGGAAAGCTAGTAGTAAAAGGGTTAAAACACAAACTGTTTAGAGTAGACGATGTTACTTTGTAAGGCCTCAGCTATGTACTGATAACAGCTTGATTTCCTTATCAGTGCATGAACAGAAGAATGTGTTATAAGGATTCACTTCATGAGCTGGGAGACAGATTGTAATAATGTGTCCAGAGAGAGATTCATGTATGTTGCTTCTATTCAGTTCTGTATCAGCAAATGTTTTTTTGTAACGCCTGGAGCCGACTGCATCGACATGGAAGTGATCCCAACAAGTAGCTCAGCAGGTTCTAAAACACACAGAGCAAAGCTAATAGCTGTATTTATGTTCTAACAAGTCCGATGTCAAGCAGCAGCAAGTAGTCGCTCTGGGTTACATGCATTGGCTCTGATATCTTTTGTGATATGAAGAAGTGTGCGTTTGGTAAATGATTAACTCTCTGTCCTGTAATTACACAAATCAGCTATCTGAGATCTTAGTTGATGATGATGGTTGATTAGAGGCTAAATATAAAGCTTGTGCTATTAAAAAAATAAGGGGGCCACAGAACAGCTTTTGATCTAAAATTCCCACGCAGGACCTGTGTAGTCGACAATCATCAGTTGTGCAAGTGTTTCCCGGCTGTTGCCGTATGTTTGCACATTACCGTGTTATCAATCAGCAGTGTTTGCTCACACTTAGCATGACACATGGGCTTTTCACTTTGGATGAGCAGTACAAAAAGCACCCTGACCACGCCTTATTGCCTTAAGTTTTCATAAAGTTTTAATCTGACGTTTGTGGAATGTAGATAGTAGAAGGTGTAATCTGTTCACTTCACTATTTAGTTCATCCACCATTTAAAAATGCCTCCTATCTGGTGTCACTAATTAACTCCAAATTTAAATAAGTCCATTTAAAAAAAAACTCTCACTGTTCTTTAGTTTTCCCCAGAAATCGATGTCTTCACACCAGATATGGTCAACGGAGAAGCTGATTGTTATCTGTAATATGAAGGGGGTGCTCTTGTTTTTGTCTTTGGATTTATTCCTCGTGTCAAATCCAGTTATTTTAATCATTTGAAGTCATTTTTCCCATCGAGTTTTTATTTCATACGCGTCTTTTGTCAATGCTTCAAGTGTCTCGTTGGAGCGGACTGAGCTACCTAGGCGTCTGACTTTCTACATGTGACCTCCAGCATGTAAACGATGTATGAGTACTAATATAGCAGTGCAAAAACCACTTGTACACAAGACTGTGAAACTTAATCAAGTGTAGGTATTTTTGTATTTGGCAAAAAAAGCAAAATCATTATTCTGCCTTTTTTTGTTCTATCCTAGATTTTTTTTTTTTTTTTAAAGAAACAACATACAAGTCATTTTATATCTCAATACCAGTGTACCCTTTACCGAAGGTTCACATGCATATTGACCAAGAGAGGCCTCGTCTTTGTATTTTCTCTGAATATTTTTGCACAGATGTTTTGTATTGCAAAATCATTTATTAAAATGATGTTGTTTGGTTAAATTTGCTGTCAATGATATGATCGTTGTTTTTTAAGCACATCTGTAGTAGCAACATGAATCCACTGGGAACCACCAAATCACCTTTTCTGTCGACCGTCCTGGATTTATTAGCCTTATAGTTGCAGTGACCACTGTTGACCAGGTGGTGGTGCCCTTCAGCCGTCTGATTATTAGTGGAAGTATCAGCCTCGAAAACAGCTGGAAATAATATTAGTCCAACTAGAATTTGGCCAAAGATGGAAAAGTGACTCTGGGATAATGTTCCTCTGTGTCTTGCTTGTGTGTATTAGTGTGTTCTTGTGTGGGTTCCCTTTCATTTCCTGCTCAAAACTCACATTTTGCACATTGAATGAGCCAAAGCAGCTTAGAAATGAACCAGAATGCCTGTGCATGTGCATGCCAGCAAAAGACGTAATACTGTAAATACAGATGGGTGAAAAATGAAAGGGGGGAAAATGAATGCTTTGCAGTGAGGGGATCTGGGGGTTCTGTTGTGTTGTGGGGGGCATTTGCATGGGTGGTTTAGGTCCACATGTCTCCCTAGAGTGAAAGGTCGCTGTCAGTCAATACAAAGTTGTTCTGAGTGAACACATTCATCGCATAATGAAATGATGAAGCATTTCCGTCCTGATGGTGTTGTCTCTTCCAGGATGACAGCGCCTCCATCCATTGGGGCACAAGGTTGAACCTGATGGTTTGATGAAAATAAATAATCACCAGATCTCAACTCAGCTGAACACCTTGAGGAGATTTTAAACCAATGTGCTCAGCAGACAGATGACAATGAAAAAAAACTGCTTAAAGTGTCTTAGTAACCCACTTGGCCACCATGTTCCACCAGAACCGTTTTAATGTGTCTTTACATTGATTCTCTAAGTCTCTTGGACTCTCCTGGAGGGATGAATACTTCCAAGACATGTTCCCTCATTTGGTGTTTTGATGATGGTGACGGTGGTAGATTGTCTTTCACATTGGTCCCAAATCTGCCATCGCTGTTCAGTTGGGTTGAGATCGTTAGACTGTTAATATCACAGCATGTGATAAATATAACTTCCAAACCAATCAAACCATTCAATGAGCCCTCATCCCTATGGATGGAGGCGTTCTGGAAGAGACCATTCCAGTCAAGGTAGACATGTTTCATCATAGTATAAAGGTGATCACTCAGAACAACTTTGTATTGATTTACAATGGCCATTCAATCTAAGGGGGACAAGAGGACCGAAACCAGTCTAGCAAACTGCCCTCCACAGCCTTACAGCTCACTGTAGAGGTCAGACAGTCTGATCACATGCTGCACATTCTGTCACCTAAGGAAGAGTTGCTCCTCTGGCTTTTTCCCTTACATATTACACTAATGGACGAACATCACAGTCATCAACAGCCGTCAAACATCTCTGTTCCTACTAAAAAACTGGCCACAAGAGCAATCTATGTGACTGAAATCATGCCGTCCATTTCCCAAAAATGAGACATCTTTTAAAGTCACGTTGATCTTTTCCTCCTTCCATCTTGATACTAAATCAGGATTGAACATTTTCATATCTGCCACAGACTAGACGTTACACAGTACACCTGTTTAGAAGCATCTGTATTTTTAAGGTCTCTTCAATCAGTTATTCAAGTTCTCCCTTTAATTTGTCTGGCATCTCATGCATCATGCAGGCATACACACCAATAAACGTAACAGTGATGAAATAGGTGAACCAATCGTATGGAAAATTAAGCTCCATCTTGCAGTGCAGCTGTGGGAGCCCTCATCCCCCTCCTCTCACCCTCGTCTTAATTATGGATCTATGGTATATTTGTGTGTTTTCACAGGAAAAGAAAAGAGGGCAGCTATTAGCGGTGATACAGTCTTCACTCCTGAAAACGTTCTCCGCTGCAGACCTGGAACAGTCTGTTTTCCGAACATGTTGTGTGAGCAGCAGAGTAGTAAACCCTCCTGACTGCCTCATCACAGACTCAGCGCTCTGAAGCTTTTGGATGTAGTTTCTCCGAAGGCGAGAACTAAAAATTGTTTGCTATGCTTGCAAGTGCAGCTACAGAGTCTGTGAGAGGAGGAGGGCAACGGAGACAGAGGGGAAGAAAGGAGGCATCTGTAGTTGATAGAAACTCAACATCTGTGATCTGTGATGAGATGCCAGGATCCTGTCAGACACAGTCACTGACATCCTGGAAGGCAATCTGGACTTTGACATTCATTACTGATGCTATGTATGTGCAGATGCCTTATTGTCTTGTCCAACCAGTTAAAAACTTTTTAGGATATGAAACACATCCTCCCCATAAGTGTTTTGCAGGCTTACAGACATCTGGGGGGAAAAAAAATTACCCCGATTTAGTTGAAACTAAAGATGCTGTTACAGATCTAGCTTACATTTAACTGTTGTTTGACAGCTTTTCAGTGGATATCTCAGGGGTGTAACTAATAAATAATCTCCACATTAGTTTTATTTGTTTTACCTATACGTGTCAGAAAACATTTTTTAAAAATGTCCGTCATTGTTTAGCAAAGCGTAAGATCTTTGCTTTGCTATTTGATCTGATCAAATAGCTAAGAGAAATAAAAAAATGCACATCAGAAAAGAGCTCTTAAGAAGTTCACTCTTTGGGGTATTTTAGAGAGAAAGTCAAAGCAACACAACTCCTTCTTCAAAGGTTTATTTCATGTTGTCATCCTAAATCAAAAATAAAAGTTAATATAGGAAACACTATCCATCCATTATCTATACACGCTTAATCCTCATTGGGGTCGCGGGGGGGCTGGAGTCTATCCCAGCTGACTCAGGGTGAAGGCAGGAGACATCTGGACAGGTCACCAGTCTATCACAGGGCCACACTTAGAGACAGACAACCAAGCACACTCACATTCACACCTGTGGACAATTTAGAATCACCAATTAACCTCAACATGTTTTTGGACTGTGTGGGAGGAAGCCGGAGAACCTGGAGAGAACCCACGCTGCACGGGGAGAACATGCAAACTCCACACAGAAAGATCCTGGTGCCCCCACCGGGACGCAAACCGGCGACCTTCTTGCAACAGTACTAACCAACTGCGCCACCTTGCAGCCCTAGGAAACACTATAAAAAAATACATTTAAAAAAAGATTTGAATCTTACTAAGAAAGATTTTATTTATCAGGCTTGTTTCTATTTTAACACTTGTGTTTTTAATATGGTAAATCTAAACTGTTACTCTTTAATTGCACATAAAAGCAGACACCCTGCTGTTCAGTGTAGAAGTGCTGCAGGTATTTTTATAGTGATTTAAATTGAATCATTTGGCAGTTAAGTAATAATTGACATTGTTGTGTGGTGTATGAGCTTCTTCTGAAGCTTTTAGCTGTATGTCCCAGACAGCTTCAGGTGACATCAGTTAACCTTGAGTTTGAATATTTTATTACAGACGTGCAGCCCTGTCTGCAAGGTGGCTCGGTGGTTAGCACTGTCGCCTCGCAGCTAGAAGGTTGCTGGTTTGTGTCTCGGTGAAGACACTTGTCCTGAGTCAGCTGGAATTTAGACTCCAGCCGCTATTGAGGATTAAGCGGTGTATAGAGAATGGATGGATGTAGCCCTGTTTTCAGAAATGAACCATAAAGCTCAAATGTTGCCCAGTTTAAAACTAAATGGATTGACAACTTTTGACTTGCAACCATCATTGCTACTGAGCAGAACATAAATATCACAAATGGTAAGAATAACGAGCATACTGTATGATTGGTGGCTGTGATTTGATAGAGGAGCAGCTCAATGTCACTCAATCGGACACTTGGGAAGAAATCTGGAGAAAATGGTTTAGATGGAATTTTCTCAAATGTAATAAAGTGATTCATTTCTGTGAAGCTGATGATACATCAGTCATTTCTGTTTCCTGAAATGCCCCCAGAAAGCCAACTAAATGGTAGTGTTGCCACAAGTATTCAGATCCTGCGATGACTGATTTTTTGGCCACGTGTGGGCAGCCGAAACAACATATCATATGTTTGGAATCGTGTTTCTGGCCATCTGGGGAATTGTAGTCACTCTCTTTTAGCTCTGTTATTGTTCTTGAGGAAAACATCTGGCTCTGTAGCTGTTTACTAGTTTAGCTGTCTGCTGTTTGGTGCTGAGCAGATAGTGTACAAGGAGTTTTTGGAGTTTTTTTTTTTTTCACTGAAAACAGATGCGCATTATGGCAAAAACAAACCAAATAAGTAAAATGGGCACCAGGCAGCCACACACGAGCTGAAACTCACGCTAAAGTGAAGCTGAGAGGAGCTGCGTACTCAGATAATAATCCTCTGTGGGTTCATTATAACTGACCCTGTACACAGCATTTCTTTTTTTTACAATGTTATTTGCTGCAATCTATAATAAAATATTCATCATAGCAGCTTGAAGTAGAATTTCTGAAAGCCACATCAGCAAAATGTATTAAAAGCAAGAAAGTAAAACTACTTAATGTGCAATGAGCGGTCCCAGTGAGTGTCTGACCATGAAGTCACATTATTCGTAGGTAAAAGTGTGAGCAGCATGTGTAGCTGGTTAACATGGTGCTAGTTTTAAACACCTAATGCATTGTTGTATAGTTAACAAAAGGATTAATATAGATCTGCCGGTCATGAAATAATAAATGTTTGAGGAGATACCATTCTTATAACTTTTACTTTACTTTTGGGAGCTCTAAGAGTCATTCAAATGGAAACATGTAAGAAGTTGAAAGGGCAAATGTCTCTTTGGTTCAACAACCAATACAGTATATTTGAGGCCTTCAAGCTCAGATCACGACTTAAAAGCAGCTTGTAACTATTGTGGTCAGATGACAAATGTAATATTTCCTTCTGAAGTAAAAGTACCGCAAAAATTCTACTCATGCACACATGATATATTTGCATCTACAGTTAATTGCCACCACTGGACATAAACCTGCCAGGCTTGGAGTCTGGATAATAGGTGCAGTGTGGATGGGTGTGTCCTGTCTCAATGCTAAAGTCCCTCTGGTTCAAAGCCGGAGCA